ACATCGTTTGCATTTTAGTCCCAAGCCCATCTCTGGGCAGAGTTTTAAGTATTACCTCTTCTGCTCAGTGTTTGGCGATGTGAACCAATCACTGAAATGAACTTGCTGTAACATAAAATGTTATCCACTGTTTTCAGAAAGTTGGAGAAATAGTTGACACCCCATCCCTGTTGGTGCTGCTAAAATACTGTGCTGTTTTCACCCTTGTTTGACACCTCTGTACTTTGTTCCCCTCCTACTCCGTGCTGTTTACAACCCAGGCAGCTCCTGTTAATTTTTTTTTTTTTTAAGATTTAAGATTTTAAAACATGTCTGTTTCTAATTTCACAGCTTTTATATAACACTGCTGGGACATACATGTTCTTACTTACCCAGATCATGGCTTTCAGTGGTTTGCAGACAATGAATTCAAGAGCATACCATCAACAAGGCGTATGGCTGATGCCATGCCTCAGTGACAGCAAAGCAGGCAAGGTTCAGTGGGGCCTTGAGTGGGGCATGGTTTCAATAATTGATCATTGAGGAGAAAGCAATTAATCTCTTCCAGTGGCAGTTCTCTCTCCTTTTTTAAGGAGAGGAGTCTGTGCTTCTTCCTAGGCATATGTTAACTATCAACTAGAGCAAAGACAAATGGAGCACCTGAAGTTAAAAATCTAAATATACCCTACTGAAGTTTGACCTCACCCATGGAGATTTTGTGATCATTTAGATGTGAAAGTTTTACTTTGTGCCACCAGGTAGAAGTATTTGCTAAGCTGTTAATATGAAACCGACCAAAGGTTCCTTAAACCTTTAGATATTTTTGGTTAAAGAGAGTAACCCCTTTGTCAAAGTGTAATTTTCAAAAGTTAAATATATGACACACAAATATAGAATGAACATGTAGCAAAGATTGATTTAATACATTAATGAGGGAGCCAGCAGGATGGCAAAGCTGGTTCAAAGGAGAACCAAAGGAACAGGTTATAAAGGCATTCATGAAGGAATGTCAGGATAAGATGTCAGCGTTAGGTGTAAACTGATTAGCAGTCCAGTGGGACAACAAAACCTGACAGAAATCATTTACATCTCCACTGGACAAAAATCTATAAGTTACCCTTAACTTTATAGGCTGGGCCTTTAATCCATAGTAAAGAGCTTGTCAAACACAAAGCCAGTGCCCCGGGTAATGAAATAATCCTTGTGTGAGCTGTTAATGCTCAGCAGGACATTGGAGGAACATGCTCCTCTCCCTTACCTTGTTTATAAGTTTTGGTCAATTTTTCTTAACTTACTATCTGAGTGACCTTCCACTTACATGAGGTTCCTGGAGTAGTCAGATTCATAGAGATAGAAGTAGAATGGTGCTTGCCAGGGACTGAGGGAGGGAGAATGGGGAGTTAGTGTTGAATGGGGACAGAGCTTTAGTTTTGCAAGATGAAAAATGTTCGGTGGGTGGATGGTGGTGCTGGTTGCACAACAATGCAAATACTTAATACCACTGAACTGTACATTGAAAAATGATTAAGATGACAAGTTTTATGTTACGTGTATTTTACCACAATTTTAAACAGTTAAATGAGCTGACACATAGGTATATGAAGAAAGACTTAACAATTCTTCAGCCTCATCGTACATCCTCATTACTAACTTAGTAATCCTATGTTTGTGTTAACTTTTCCTTATTCATAAAAATATACGTAGACCTTCTTTTAAAAAAGAGGTTATTAAAATTCTTTACTCTGTGACATTTGTTCTTTTCACTTAAGGATATATCAAGGACGGGCCTCTGGGTTATAGATATTGATCTAATCCATTCTCTTTAACACCAGCTCCATAGACTGGTTGTGCCATAATTTATTCAACAGTTGTTCTACTGATGGAAATTCAGTTGTCTCCAGTTGTGTTTTGTTTTGTTTGCCAGTGTAAACACTATTACTATAAAAATGTTATAATACAGGACAGTGAAGCTGCAGGCCAGGATCTCAGTGGTGACAACAAGAAGGCAGAGGAGGGAATTGTTCAAAGGAATGTTTTGTTGGGAAAATGGATTGGATTTAGGGGCGAGTTGAAAATTTTGGAGCAAGAGCAGAGAATGAATAGTGCTGGCATGTTACTGAAAGAGGGAGTTGAAGAACAAGGTTCTAGGGGGATGGCATAGAAGCAAGAGGGTAATGTTTGTTTCTAAAATGCCAGGCTTGGGGGGCCTGGGGGGCTCAGTTGGTAGACAACTGATTTTTGGTTTTGGCTCAGGTCATGATCTCACAGTCATGAGATCAAGCCCCTTGTTGGGCTCTGTGCTGAGCATGGAGTCTGCTTGAGATTCTCTCCCTCCCTCTCTCTCTGCCCCTTCCCCCACACACGTACGCTCCTTCTCTCTCTCTCTAAAAAAAATAAAAAATAAAATGCCAGGCTTAAGATAGGCATGCTCTCTGTGCCCTCTGGGCAGCGAAAAATAAAGATCTAAGGCTTAGGGAAGACATCACAGGTAGAGACATTGATCATAGTTGATCATAGACAAAGTCATAGTTGAAGCTATGGGAGTAGGGGAGATCTGTTCCTAGGGCAGCCTTATTCTAGAGGAAGGAGATAGCGTTCATGGCAGTTACCTGTGTTTAAGAGTCTGGCTAGGGAGACTGAGACGCTGTGATCCGAGAAGGAGGAGGAATGGCAAGTAAAGACCTTTACTGAGCCCTGCCTCTGAGACGTTCTTCAAACGGGGGTTTCCTTGTGTATAAACCACCAGAAACAATGGTACAATTGCATAAGCCAATTTGGGCCCCTGCTTTGAATTTATGGACTAGGCCAAATGAAATCTCAGAGGGGCAGAGTTCAATTGTAGTTTGACAACTCTCAACAGGAGTTACAAGGTCATTTTTTAAGACTACATACATATAAACCAGGACTTAGAAGATACGTCAGTGTCGCAATCCCTTGTGAAGCAGAACGTCTGCCCAGAGGTGCCCGTGGAAGCAGCGAATAACAGGGAATCTCTAAAACATTACAGTGAGCGCTGATGCTGTCTCCACAATCTACATTAGCTTAAAGATGACCCTGTTGCCACCACATCTTTTTATAAAGGATCTGTGAACTTTTAAACGTACCCATTGATTGGAGGAGGCAATAAAGGCAATTACTGGTAATCCAAATGCATCATTTTGTCCCTTCTCATGACTTTAAGAAATACCTGTGTTTGGAAAAGCAACAGAGTCATCAAAACTGCTGATGTCACTGAGGAGTGACATCCCGGGGAGCCTGCCAAGTTTGACGCTGGATTCAACTTAATTCACATGCTGTATTCTTAGTCATACCGTAGATACCATGGTCAAAGATTCCTGAAGAAGAATCCAAAGAAGTAAAGATGAGGACACTCACCATAAAGTGCTTTGTCATCTTGTGGGGAACTAAGATATGTTCTCTGGGTATTCTGTGACCCCCACCACCACCAGGGTTGTGTTTGTTGCTATTGAAGGAATTTGCAGTCCGAGTGCAGTCAGTCTGTACCCAAGTTCCCCCAACCTGCAGGACCCGTTTGTTAAGGAAGAAGCAGGTGTGTGCACAGTGGGGGCACTGGCAGGTTAGAGGAGGCAGCAGGTGGTGAACGAACTGTTTTCCAGGTAATGTGATCGGAGTCATATTTATAGGGTGGTCATTTTCAGGCGTGATGGACTCAGGCCATCATCTTGGGTTACTTGATTATAAATTGCAAAGAAGGAGGTCATAGCTGTGGAGTGTTGATGTAAACAAAGGCTGATGAATCCACATTGGAAGGCTTGTTTGTAGGTTCAGTGTCACCTTGAATATCTCTAATGCTTTGCAATAGGGAAGACTGCCAACAGAGGGTGGGAGAGTTGTCAAAGTATTCAGTCAGTACCTTACTGTGCCCGGCACCAGATCATCCAGAGGCATTGATGAGTCACGGAAACTAATTAGAGGAACACTGGAGGTGTTCCAGTAGGATTCTTAGGAAAGCAAGTTAGTGGTGGAGCTCGCCTTCCCCCTGCCCACTGGGTGCCTAGTCCAGCTGCTTGCAGGAAGAATCAGGAAGAATCCGGGATTTTTTGCCTAAGGCCCTTAGGTGTATAGGAGTCACCCAAGCCTGGGTGTCGGGAGGGCAAGACTGGAGGTTCCCAGCTGTGTCTGCTGCTTCCCAGTCCTTTGGCAGTGGAAACGCTTTATTCTCAGGGTCTGCCTTAGGCTTTAGTTTTGGACAAGTTGTTGTGCCCTCCTCTGGTCTTGTCTGAACACGTAGGCCACGCCCAAGCCCCTGACACGCTGGTAACTTTGCCCTATCTCCATAATCCACGGCTGCACAGTTTCAAAAGAGACACCAAAATCCAGACACAGCAAGGCATTCCCTTTTGCAGGTACGGAGGTCCTGAATGACAGTTTTATCTTGGACACGTTCCCTTTTCTTTCCTCTTTTGTCTGTTCATTTTTATCTCTCCCTATAATATATAAATAATTGGCTTATCCTGTTTGCTGCCCACAGAGAAAATTAAACGTCTGAATTTTTCATAGCTATGGGAAAGTGTTTTCCAAAGTGGGGAAAAAAATGGACATTGGACATTTCAGCTCCTGCTTTCAGTATAGTGGGAATTTATTACTCAGCTCAATAATAGTCTTGGCCCAAACCAAGTAGTTGTGAAGGCAAGCAGTGGATACCTTTCCTAAATCACACTGCCGGGGATACCTTTGTTCATAACTGAGACAGCACATACCAAGGGCATCTTTCCATCAAAGACTGATTATCTCTGGATCTTAGACATACCACAAAAGTCATTGAGCCCCAGCCAATGGATTTTACTTGTATGTGAGATTGCATCGCTCCCAAAAGGAGGGAAACAGAAGGGGAGGGAGGCAACAGAGAACTCAGAGCCCAACAATAAATAGCTCTTTGTACCAGTCCCCTCCCCTAACCCCAAGCCACTGAGCTCATGAAGTTCCCAGCACGCAGGGGAAGGCAGCGCTGCCCAGCAGCTTAGCAGATGTTGACCAAAGGCGAACTTGTCTTTCCACAGTGTGCGGCTGTGACCTGGCACAAGGGGGCTTCTTCATAAAGAACGGGGAGTATCTCTGCACCCTGGACTACCAGAGGATGTATGGGACACGCTGCCACGGCTGTGGGGAGTTCGTGGAAGGAGAGGTAGTGACTGCCCTGGGCAAGACTTACCATCCCAACTGCTTTGCCTGTACCATCTGCAAGTAAGTGGTGCCTTCCCCCAACAGAGAAGTGCTGGGTTCTGCTCTTAAAGCCTGGGATGTACACCTTTTGTCTTGAATTGCACTGTCTTGAAATATTCTTTTTCTGATGCACCCTTAGATTTTTAAAAAAATGTTCCTATTGTTTTATCAGTCTTAGTCAAAAAGTCATTTAGTTGGGAAACTTTACACACGAGGTCCTCTACTAAATAATATGACTGATTTTAAGTGTCTTGAAACCAAGTGTGAAAGCAGCTCTGGGTCTTGAAACGGTTTGAGCAATGAAAACCTTAGGAGGAAATGGCATAACTGCTTGGAAGGATAAAGCTTCTTTGGAAGTATACGTTCATGTGTGTGTGTTTAAAAGTAGTCTCGTTTACTCTGTAGCAGAGCTGGGCAAACTCTGCCCCATGGCCCAAATTAACCCCAATACCTGTCTTTGTAAATAAAGTTTTATTGGGACACAGTCACACCCATTTTTTCACATATGGCTGCTTATGGCTTCTTTTGAGCTACAGTGGCAGAGTTGAGCAGTCATGACAGACGTCATATCCGCAGAGTCTAAAAAAAATACTTATAGTCTGAACTCTCAGGGAGAACAGTTGACCTACGTCTGCTCTCTAGGCTTCCATCCTCTAGCAAGGTTAAATCTTAACTGCACAAATCAGCTTGGTTAAAATGATCAGTCAGAGAGAAGCAGGGGAAAGTATGTGAAGTGTGAGTGGGGAAAGGTGGTGGTTTCATCGTTCTGTGTTTCAAGTACTACACATTATAGAACTTAAGATGGCATCGCTTGCGGTAACAAGGAGAGTCACCAGCAAGGCTCAGCTACTTTACTGATCTGTCCTAATTGGGCAGTCCCATTCTTTGGGTGTGCTGTTGCTGGCTGTGTGCTCCATTTTGCTGTAGCTTTGTAAAAATGACAGTTCAGAGGAGGTGTTTTGCTTTGTTTTTCAGCATTTCATGTTTCTAGGCCAGAGAGATGTAAACTCTAGAAAGGTAAACTTCATTCTATCTAATTAGCTAACAAGGTAGTACTCACAGATGAACCATATAAGATTAAGATGGAGTATTCATCGTAAAATTATTATAATAATATTTTATAGTTATTAGTCCATTTCTCAAGTATATCTTTTTAGATCCTAATTTTAAAATGCTGGATTACGGAGCTGAAAATTTTTCTGTATTTAATCCAAAGTAAAGTTTCCTTTTGACCTCTCCCTTTGCAGGCTGTGGCCCACTGCCTGCTTAAAAGCCCTTGGCTGGCATTCGAGAGTCCCAAGTTCTAGTCCTGCTTCCTGGACTATGTGAATTAAGTTTTTCCATGGCAATTGCTTCATCTGTAAGATAGGAGGCTGTGGACTAGATCCCAGTGATTCCCCAAACCAGGATGAGCAGTGGACTCCTCCCCTGGGGAAGGTCTCTTTACAAATGTCTGTTTCTAGCATTTTCCCCCAAACTCTCCTGCTGATCTAGTAGTTTCTAGAGGGCTCCCAAGTATGAGGCTACTCAGCCAGGTTGGAAGGCCCTGGCCCAGGGCTCTAAGAGCCCTCCTGATTCTGGCTTTTGAGAGATCATTGTTTTAAAGTCGGTGATGATGAATAAACGTCTATTAGTGATAGTCCTGTCTCTGACGTTTGGGCCAGCGAAGAGGTACTCACTGTTGTCACTAGCATGCTGCTGCTGAAGATGATGATATTCTACCTGAAGTGGAGGCCTCCTTTATGGCTGACAACCTGCATTCATGTCGAATCTACGTTAACCCTCTTAGCAATTCCGTGAAGTCAGCCAGGAATTAGTGTCCCTAATTATGAGTGACTCTGGGTCTCAGAGTTGAAGGGACTTTCCCCAGACTAACACTGCAAGGCTAAGATTTGAACTCAGGTTTCCTGACTCCAAATCCGGTTTTCTTGATAACACACAGTCACACAAATGGCAGAAGGAAGTGAAGCCGTGTGGGCAGAGAATACAGTGGGCTGAAGGGGGAAAGAACTGAAGAGGGTCATTTATAAAATCACACAAGCCAAAGTTCAAAAGACCTGGCCCCATGTTAAGAACTGGACTCTGGTTTATCCCCTAGTGGATCCAGGTGGGATTCAAGTCTAAACATACAAACTTGGCTCAGAGGCAAGAGAGGAGGCTAGCGTGCATTGCAGGGTCCACACCTGAGTTAGGGCCTCCTTTAAATGCTGGGCCCCAGGTGCCTCACTGGCCTCAACCTAGTCCTGGCTCCAATCAGAGGCAAAAAGCTTGTGCTTATGCTTCTGGCCCCCTAATTCCTGATGCCCCCTCACAGAGCAGACTGGGGCCTCGTTTGGGTTTCATGGATGAAGCAATAGGCCCACTGGCATCCACCAAAGCACGATTTTTAATTGTTAAAGACAGAGACATCCTGTATTAGTGGATGCCACCTGCACCGCCTGGGGCCAGTCTCCCGAGCTGGTCAATCCAGGCAGGTCACTTAAGCTCTCCGGGCCTTATCTGAACAATGGAAAGTAACACAGCACCAGCACCCTGAGAGGAGAAGAGAGGGCCTCAGCTCAGCACTTGTAAAAGGAGGGGGCGGGGGAGAGTAAGAACCTGTAACTCTCCTTGAGGACCAGCACAAAGCACATCTGTGGAGTTGTTTTAAGTCCAAATTTACTACCTGTGTGTGTGTTACGGTTAATTACCAACCGTTAGGCAGCTGAAGGGCCACTTAAAGGAGGGTTAGCAGCTGTGAAAGTAAAACTCCTGTCAAAGAGCCGGTGTTTGTTCTTAAGTAATTGCTTCTGACTCAGATGTGTGGGGATGTTTTGCTTGTGAGTTTTTCATTTCCTAACCGACAGAATCACAATTTAAAAGCTCATGTTAATGAAGAGTATTGGCAAATTGCCAATTACAAGTAAGCAGACATGGAAATTGTCCTGTGAGTCTTTGTTAATGACTTTTCTTTTTGAAAAACTACCTGCCCGCTGAACTGGCCAGAGAAGAAACGGGTAACACACATGCAGAGGCAATATTTTTGCAAACTGTTTGTTGTTGACGAATGACGCAAAAGGAAATGATCTCTCTGAAAAGAAGCTAATAGTTTTGTGGGGTTTTCTTTTTTTTAAGTTTTTAGAAGCTAATCGTTTTTAAATAGGTATTTACAGCACTGTTGTATTTCTCCACCAGGGATTGGGCCTCCAGCACTGACACACCCCGTTCACCCACTCAGATGTCCAGAACAAAGTCTCATTAGGTGCACAAATACCACGTAGGTCTAGGGAAGTGAAGGAGTTAATGCTTGACCTGTAACCAGTTCTCCTGGGGAGGGGCCTTAAGCTTGAATAGGAATTTATGGCATTTAAAATATTTCTTCTTGAAGGGTTTTCCATTTGGAAAATGGAAAATTTTCCTGTGTGTACCTGGCTAGGTGACTTGTTGGAACAATCCCTCCACTAATGAGTAGAGGTAAATCATTCCATTTTACTGTCTGGTTGCTGGTAGAAGCAGTGCGTTCTCCCTTCTCAAAATGAGGCATGTTTGTTTGTTTGGACTATATCCAGCTGGCTGGCTTGGTTAATAAGACTGAATTTCAGACATTCTGGCTAGTGCTCCTCAAAGAAATGGATTGGCACCCGGGGGCAGCGAGCAGAAGGAGTAAGGAAAAGAAATTAAATTGCTGGAATAACCTTGAGGGCAATGTCTTTCTGTCTCCAGGCGCCCGTTTCCACCCGGAGACCGAGTCACATTCAATGGAAGAGACTGCCTTTGCCAACTGTGCGCGCAGCCGATGTCGTCCAGCCCTAAAGAAGCCACCTGCTCCAGCAGTAAGTGCCCCAGCCACCCGTTGACATGAGTTCCTCATAGCTCAAAGGTCGCTTAGGCAAGTGACCTAAGGCCTTCCTTCCTGTGAAGCTGTTAGCTAATGCTGAGCATAGTCGCATCTAAGGCATTGCGATTGTAAAGCCTGAAGCCTTTGCTAAAACCCGTGCAGTGAAAAGCATCTCCCTTCTGTCAAAAAGGCGTAAATAGGATTGGACATCAAACTGTGCATTTTGAGAGTAAATGAAGGAAAAAGAATGATAAAACTTTCTGTGAGAAATGCCCATTCCCTCATCATGGTGGTTGAGATGTGCAGACATTTGGTGGTGAAGGGATTCATAGCTCTGTGTATTAAAAAAGCTGTCCCCACTGTGCCTAGGGCAAGTGCGGTGATTTATACTTACCCTTAATTCTTTATATCTGTTATCCTTAAATATTTATTCACTTGGAGGGTTTCTGACACTTATTTATTGAACAGATAGTTTGCTGAGCACCTACAATGTGTGATGTTGTTCGTACTGGAGATCCAGGAGTGAACAAAAACTCAGCATCCCCAGGAAGCTTACTTTCTAGCAGGAACAGGCAGACCATAAATGCAGACACCAAAGTATCTAATATCTAAATTAAAGTAGGAAGAAGATGCAGGGTAAAGGGGCTGCATTTATACGGGGCAATCAAGGGAGACCTCTCTCAAAAGGTGACACTTTGAAGTGTGGGAACAAGATATATATATGCCATGGGATTTGTCATTCTTTATGACGCGGTCTTGTGTGACCTGTGGGAATCCAGAGAAAACTAACTTGCTCCCAAACCTTCCCCCTGCTGACTTCCCTCATAGTGTCAGTTGTACTGTTTCTCCTAGTAGATAACATTAGGTAAGTCAGTTACCTTTTAAATGAAATGTATTCTGATCTCTGGCACCAAACAATGAGGCTCTACTTCCGTTTCCTCCCTGGGGGCATTAGGAAGTAGACCAGAGGTTTGCCTTGGTTTCTGTGGATTTTACCAATCTTTGGGAGATCTGCAACAAATTCCATTAAGCTCCTCCAGTCTCAGTACATAAGAATGAAATAAGCCACTTCTGCTCTGGAGGAATTCTGTGCAAGCCATCGCAGTGATTCCAAATCTTTTTGTTAAAGAAGAAGAATCCTGATACCTTTGTTCAAAAAGAATGTTCTGACCAAAGCATTTACATAGAGATTGGATTTGACCGTTGGGAAGAAAGAAGAAAATAGATGTATTGGTGCATCTTATTCAACACGACCGGATCCTTAGCATGTGAATTTATATGCCCTGCTGATAAATGCTAGCAGCCTGAATAGGGCAAGAGCTACAAAGTAAGGCCCAGTCCTAGACCTCTAGGAGGGTTTCAAGTGCTTCACGCCTCTTACCTACCCTGCCCCAAGCAGGTCACTGGGGAGGTGAGCTGGGGTGGGAATAGTCACCCCACTGTGTAGGAGGGCCTACTTCGAAAGTACATTACCAAAAACTTTGGAGGAGTTTTTCAATCTAGTTAAGAAAAAGGATTTTGTGAATCCCCAGGAAAGAGTGATAGCTGCTAATAGGGAATCATGTCCAGAGGCCTATAATAGAAATGGCTATGTCCTCAAATTCTGTAGAGTCCTTTAGTCCAACTGTCTCTCTTTTTTTTTTTTTTAAGATTTTATTTATTTGACAGAGAGAGACACAGCGAGAGAGGGAACACAAGCAGGGAGAGTGGGAGAGGGAGAAGCAGGCTTCCCGCTGAGCAGGGAGCCCGACTCGGGGCTTGATCCCAGGACCCTGGGATCATGACCTGAGCCGAAGGCAGACACCTAACGACTGAGCCACCCAGGCGCCCCCTCCCTCCTTTTTTTTTTAAGTAAACTCTACACCCAACGTGGGGCTTGAACTCGACCCTGAGATCAAGAGTCACATGCTCTGCCGACAAAGCCAGCCCAGCACCCCATAACTTTCTTGATAGGTGAGGAATTTAGGGCCCATGGGCATCCTTAAGGTCACAGAAGCTGTCCGTTAATAAGGCAGGATTTACAGGCAAGTCTTTTGAGTCCTGGTTTTGGGCTCTCTTTTGTTTCATCTCATACTCTTCATTGTTTGATTTAAGAAACAGCAGTGGATCTTTTTAAAGACTTCCTGTCCTGCCACGCATGCAATTTGGGAACAGGTTTTCTCCTCACAGCGTTACCGAAGTGGTTATTCCAATTTTTTTTAAACATGTTTTTGCTTTCACTGTATTTTCCATTTTATATGACATACATGTTATGTACATAAGGAAAAAATAAAAATTTTAAGTGTAAAAATGTATCCTACCCAAATTCATGATATCTTTCATGCTATATGTAATAACAATTGCCTGTGCACACATTGTTGGACCAAATCCTATTTTCTCCTTTGCTCTCAATGGATGAAATCTCTTTTCTTTGCAACTGTTTTGGTCCAAACAGTTTTATTTTCAACAAGTACTTGTCTATTTAGATCAGTACTCAAATAACATTTATGGGGCATGTGGGGTGTTAAAAAGGAGCTCTTATATATGGATGCACACATGCAAAATGCCCAAGCTGGGCAGGCACACAAATACTAGAGCAAGGGAATTCTCAGCAAGTTGCTGAAATTCACTGGAGCATAATTAGAAAACACTTGGTTGTTATTTGTAATTCCATGAGAATTGCCGTATACGTGAAAACTACCCTGACGTGACTTTAATTCTTATTTTAAAAATGGCTGAAACTTGGCAAATTGCCCTAAAGCAAAACGAAAAATGAAGTGCCTCTTTGACACTGTTCACAGAGTCAGTGAAACATATCAGAGAGTCAAGGTCCTCTCTCTGTTGGGATGTTCTTTCAAAAACAAATTTGCTCTTAACTGCAATTTTATTTCACATTCCGCGGCTGGTTTCCCATCTTCACTGCCTAGAGGTGAAAGTGTGAGAGGAAGAGACGTGAAGGGTGGTCAACAGATCTAAATCAGTGATGGGGTGAGAATTCACACAAAACAGTGTCTGCTTGAGCTTCCTGGATAGAGGTGCGGTTTCTACTATAGCCGATCGGGAGCTACGCCATCTGTACTGCTCTGGCTTAAAGAGGACTCCCAGGGACGTGCCTGTGGCGTCATGGTGCTTCCTTCCACCATACAATCATTCCTTTAACCTTTATATGTAGTCTTCTTTATCAAGCACTCATACAGTGTTCACTATGGGTCAGGTCCTATATAACTGGTCCACTAATTTTAACTCATTTAGTTCACAGAGCCACCCACTAGCTTGGTACTAAAACTATCTCCTTCTCACAGAAGAAGAAACAAAGGGCCATAGAGGTTAATTTGCCCAAGATTACACAGACGGTAAGCAGTGGAGCTGAGTTACAGACCCACGCTGTCTGGCTCCAGGTGCCATACCGATGTCCCTGATGTCTGTTTCACAAGGTGGGCATCACTCTGCAGAGCCTCAAGCGATGGCCTGCCTTGTCCGCACATTTACCCGAGTGTCCTGCCTCCAAGGGCTGTGCCCTTTCTACACACCACAGCTGCCTTCCCTTTGTCGCCAGGTTTGATGAACGGAAACCACGAGGACGTTATTCCTGGAAACTACTTCCATTAAAAATGATTGCCCCTGAATTAGTTAAAACTCTGGCTGCATCCGGTCTGATGCAATTTGAATTCAATAAGCAATAAACCTTCTATAACATGGAAATCATAGTAAAAATTACCTCAAAGGTTGTGATGAACATTAATTAAACTTTTACTATTAAAAAAAATCAGTTGCCTATGTCCAGCTGATTCATACCTTAAAAATAAAAATTGATGCCCAGGCGGTGCCTGGGTGGCTCAGTCAGTTAAGCGTCTGCCTTCGGCTCAGGTCATGATTCCAGGGTCCTGGGATCGAGCCCTGCATCAGGCTCCCTGCTCAGCGGAGAGCCTGCTTCTCCCTCTCCCACTCCCCCTGCTTGTGTTCTCTCTCTCGCTGTGTCTCTGTCAAATAAATAAATAAAATTTTAAAAAAAAAAAAATTTGATGTCCAGAAAACGTTAAGTCCAACCAGAAGGTTATGGGCACTCCTCTAAAGCTCAGTTCTTCTCCGGTCTTTGCCAGCAGTTGACCTGGATTCCCATGGGATAAGGAGCCCTTCGAGGGGAGAGAGATGTGTGTGGCAACCTCGAGCATAGGGAATCAGGGTTTGGATTGTCGTTTTCCCGCATGGCTCCTGTCTGTTTCAGGCACCTGAGCAGGAGTGGGCTGCTGTCTACAATTACCCTTTCCATTTCAAAGGGTGTCTGACTAGTGTCTGATTGTGTGTGGGTTTGGTGGATTGATGCGATGACCACCCACACACAAACACATCCAAGTCCATCTTCCTCCCTCCTACCCCTCTGCACAGCATTGTCATTATTCCAACTGCAATTGGACCTCTTACAGGTATCAGGGCAAATGCTCGACTTGGCCTGAATTTAAGTCATTTCAGATAAAGAATCATGTGCCTGCTTTCAAAGGGGAGGAGGAACTTTTCTATTATTTTATGTTTCTTTTTATAGTTGCAAGATAATTTTTATTTTATCTTTATATTCCCTCCCAAGAAATCATCTGCAGGTTGAGTGGGATTTGTCTGCAGAGACACCTAACAGTGGGTGGGGTGGTGATGCTCTGATGCTGGTGTCTGAGTGCCCTGGTCAGGCTCCAGCTCTGCCACTTGCTGGCATTCTCTTTACCTTTCCAGCCTCCATTGCCTTATCTGTAAAATGGGATGGTAATCATTACCTTGTAGGATTAAATGAGGACATATATGGAAATGCTGTATACTTATAAAAAAGATAACTTACTGTTCAGGAATTAATTTTTGAGTGTTTGTATAAGACCATTACTGCTTCCTGTGCCTCTGCTTTTTTCACTCTCCTGTTCATGACAGTTGTCTTTATCTGCTCCTTTGATATTTTCCACCAGTATAAAAGCCAATGAAGGCAGAACACATCCACACATTATAGCCCATGGATTGTTGGAGTTTGACTCATGG